ACTCCCTCTCCGTTAAGGAGACCCCAGGGTAACCTTAAAAACTGACTTCCTAATGGGAGGTCAGACACGCCCTGTTACATTCCCTCTTCCATAACTACCACTAGCCTTTCTTCCCTAAGGGTTAAGCAGAAACCAGCCCTTTTGAAAGACTCGCTCCAATGCTGACATCAACCAACTGCCCAGTGCTGCCCCTCCATTTCTGTGGTTTTGACACAGCCACTGACCAGCAGTCCTTGCTGATACAAGACCACCAACCTCAAGAGTGGTTCTGGCCAGTCTATAAAGGCTGGGCACAGAGGGCCTTTATGTCCTCACCTTTTGATGTATAGGCCTAATTGTAATACATTTGACTGTTGTCTCCACCCCAAAATGAACATGAGAGGCATGTTTCATGCATGTTAGCCTACTACTATGCCCAGGCCTCCCCTTCATGAGTAATCACTTCTCCTCTATAACCTGTTAACTATCTCAGCATAAATTCCAGTCCCCTTTACCCCTCCCTTGAAGTGTTGAGTCTGGCTTCTGGCTGGAAGCTGTCCTTCCCAGACAGTCAGAATGGCCTCCTGCAGGCTGCAACCCTTTATAATAAATAAAAATCTCCTTTCCAAATTTGTGAACCTCATGGTTCTTCAGTTGACAACCCACACTTCTCACACTAAGTTGTCATCATCTGTTTGCTTGTTTCCCCACTGGATGGAAGCCCCTCAAGGGTAAGGACCCCCCGGAAGTCAGGCTGGGGGACTAAGATAGAAGTGACCTGAAGCTTTCAACATCTATTCAGCAAATATTTATTGAGCACCTACTTCATGCCATGCCATGATCTAGGCAGCATTGATAAAAGCAGACACATGTAAGAAGGAAAAGATGGGAAGGATTTCTGTGAGAAGAGAATGGAGTGGGCATCTGTGTTTATCAGAATTGAAATCTCTGTGACTTAACACACACATGTTTATTTCTTACACATGAGAAGTCTGATGTGGTAAGTAGTGCCTAACTTCTATCTAGTGAAGCCAGGGCTCAGAATCCATCTATCATGTGCTCTGCCATCTCTACGTGTGGCTTTTCATCCACCATGACAGTAAGAAAGAGATGAATGAGGCACACTGGCTCTAATTGCCTAAACTGGGAAGTGACATCTACTGCTCACAGCCCATTGGCCAGGACTAGTCACATGACTCCACCCCAACTGCAAGGGAGGCTGGGAAATGTAGAAGTATACAGAGAGCAACACAGGTAAAGCATCCTGGGCTGCGTATGTGGGGCGGGGAGGGTGAGGAGGAGGAGAGAGATGTTTGGAGAGCAGCAAGCAGACCATTTTGCCCTAATGCCTGGCATGGACTTGTAATAAAGCCCCATCAACTTTTTGTTTTGTTTGTTTTTGTTCGCTTTTGTGTTTGGAGAATGAAGCAAGGGAGGAATAATTGGTCTCCAAATTTCAGCTTTAAGTCCCTTCTATCCTGGAGCATTAGAACTAAAAACGCCATTTATCAAGAATCAACTCAGTGCCTGGCACTGTGCCAGGAGCTGTACACCTATCATTTGATCTCAATTAATCTTGAAACAGTCCTGAGGGGAATGGGACTGCCAAGATTATTGTGCTCATATTACAGATGAGAAGACTGAAGCTCAAACTGGCTTAAGCGTTTGTTCAGCCTGTGGCGAAAGGCCAAACCCTTTTTATTATGGTGCACGGGTATGATCACTCATAGGGACAAAGGAGAAAACATTAAAGAGCTAGAGGGAGGGGGCTTCTTACTCTTCAAATGGCCTCATTTCTGAGGAAGAATCCACACCTCACAAATCAATGAAGTTTGACAGCAGAAGAGGGTGGGATGTATCCCTGGGCTTAACTTCTCCACACTCAGCTGCGACTCAACTTTCCTCAACTGCAAATGGACATGGCAGACTGGCCTCCTGGGCAACCACAAGGAGCCAGTGAGAAAGTGGCTGTGAACACTGAGCACCCAGAGAGCACTCCATGAGCAGCCTCTCTTCTCTTTAGAGGGCCTGCCTTCAGAGGGGGCCTATGGGCAGAGGGAATCTTACTAGGGCCCACTTGCCCTGATGGTGACAGTTAGGTAGTCAAGGGCTTCCAGAAGGCAGCTGAGGGGTGTGGAGAGTCAAGCCCAGGGGGAAGGCCAGATCTACATGCTTGACCTTGGGGCAGTACCCTTGTCTCTGTCAGTTCCCTCATCTGAAAATAAGGAGGTGTTGGTTCTCATCCGTCAAATGCTCAATATGTCAGAGGGCTCTTAGGAGCATTATGGGGAAGATGGTGTGAATGCATCTTGTCAACCCTAGATTTTCCTGTCTCCCCACTCCCCACCCCACCTAAACCATGAGCTCCAAAGGAAGAGGAGCTGGGTCTTGGACACCCTTCTTTCTCCCACCTCCCTCTGCCCCAGAAGGTGACCAAAAGCTGTTGGTAGAAAAGTTGAAAAGTCCATCCATCCACCAAACAGAGGATCATCTAACTAACTCAAAGTCTAAAACTAAGGGGATTTGGGGGTTTCGTTTCAGTCAGAGGTTACAAACTGGCCATGAGTGGGCCAAATTCAGCTCAGACAAGTTACTTAACTTTGCTGCACCCTGGCTTCCTCATTGGTAAAATGGGCATATTAATACCTGGAAGGACAGTCAAGGATTAAAATAATTAATATACGGAAAGTGCTGAGGACAGTGTCTGACACATAAGTGTTGTGTATTTGTTTTATTATTATTATTAGAGTCACATGGTATTTCTTAAAGTTTTTGAATTCAAACGTCTTCACATGACTTCTTCAGTTAACTCTAGTCCACACCACTCCCTCCTGTCCTGCACTGAGCCCCAGAAGACCCCTGGTTTGTGTCTCCTGACTGCAGCCTGGTCCTCTGCCCTCTTTGTTCCTGTTGGTTAACAGGCTGTTTGGTGACACAGACTGTCAACAGAACCATGAAGATTACAGACCGGAGCCAGACCAGTCTTCCCCTCAAACCTCCCCTCTCACCACCACTCCCACCTCCCAAATCCGGCAAACTCAAAGCAAATCCCTGAGCTGGCCTCTCAGACCCATGGCTCCACCTCAGCCAGCTGTGTGTCTCTGGGCAAGCCCTTCCTTCTCTCCAAGCCTTAGTCTCCCCAGGAGTCAACTGGGCTCCAGAACCCCATCCACCTCCCAAGTGTGTTCTGAAATGGGGACAGTAGAGACGACTTGTCATCCCCCCAGGGTCCCTGATTCCCTCTGCAGTGGAGCTGAGAACTCTAGTCCTATCTCCTTTTAAATATCCCTCTCAATGCAAAAGAAGAATCCCATGCCAGCTGCGACAGAACAGCAACCACAGAGCTCCATGATTATCTGGATGCAGGTTTTATTATCATTAGGATGACTGTCATTGACAAGGGAAAGGGGCTTAGAGGGTTATATACAAACCACAATTATTGGGCGATGTTTCAATATTCCCACACACATTTATCCCACAGCCACGCACAGCGCAACACCATAGGGTATTCCCCTACATATGCTTCTCCAAGCAGAAACACAGCTGTGGGTCAGGGCTCTGCCCACCCACAAAGGGATGCCCAGAAAGGAGAAGATCCTGGGTCCTGGGGGTGAAGTTTACACATGGAGAATCCTGCCAGATGGGGGAGGAGATGGAAGCTGGATTTGCACATCAATGCCTCAGTCTCAGCCCACCCTCACTGGCTGCCATCCCAGAAGGACCCTCTTAGCCAGGGTTAAGGAAGGAGCAGACCTGTGGAGGTGGGGGTGACAGGGGTTCTGGGATCTGCCCCTTTGCCTGTGGTGCTAAGTGGGGGAAAGTGGGGTTTAAACTTCTAGGCTGATTTTCTGACGTGCCTAAAGGAAGAGGGCAAGGCCAGGGGCTAGGGTGTGTGTGAATATGGGGCGGGGAGGGAGGGGCTCAGGCTTATGGTCAGGGATCTAATGAGAAAATGCAGAGGTCATGAATGGTGGGGCACACAGGGCTCAAGACATCCTTAGACCACAAACTCGACTTCAGGGGAAACTGGGTTCACTCCTCCAGGGGCTCCCTGACCTAGGCAGCCCGCCGGCCAGGGTGCTGCCGCTTTTCCTCAGCTCCCTGGTTCCTACTCAGGTCATCCAGGAGCCCCAGCAGGAGGCCCGCCTGACCACAGGCTCCCTGGGGCCCACAGGGTCCTCCCAGGGCCCTCTTGCCCGGATGCTGGCGTTTCTCAGGCATCAGCTCTTCCTCTCTCTCTTCCTCCTCCTCCTCTTCTTCCCAGCTCCTTTGAGCCTTGGGATCTGCCAGCCTTCTGCCTGGGTGCTGCCGCTTTGTGACAGCATACCCAAGCCAGGGGGAGCGCCGGCCAGGATGCTGCCGCTTGTGCTGGGTTACATCGACTGACCATGAAGCCTCATCTTCCCGTCGGCCAGGGTGCTGCCGTTTGTGGGGTCCCACAGCCCCCGCTTCTTCCTCTTCCTCTTCTTCAACTCCCTCTTCCTCCTCATCCTCTCTTTTGCCTGGATGCTGACGTTTGGAGAGCCAGTCAGATTGAAGGATCTGGGACGCTGGGGAAAGAAAGAGGTCAGTGAGGGGCCCCTGACCCATGTAATAGGCAGGCGCCTGAGTGCCCACTCCAGCTTTTCTCCCAGGCAGAGTACATTTCCTGCAGCTCCCACTCAGAGCCACGGTCTTGCACCTGCCCCTCAGGCCTCACAGATACACAGTTACACAACAGTCAAAGGCATTGCCTCTCATGCCAATCCCAGTTCTGGCACTCCCTAGTTGTCTGACCATAAGCAACTCAATTGATTTATGGGAGACTCAGTTTTCTTCTGTGTAAAATGGTAATAATAGTACCTAACTAGGAGGTTGTTAGGAAGATCAAACAGTGTGATAAGGTGTTTTAAGCGCTTACAATAGTGTCTGGCACAGAAGTGCCTAGTCAATAGTAATTCAAACTGTCACACACAAAGAAACTCTCTCCCTGGCACACAGACGCTTCCCCATCGAGGGCCTCCTCCCTGTGAAATATTTCCAGCATGGAGACGGGGAGGAATCTGACTCCAAGGAGTGGTCAACTCCAGATCCCGCCCAGGCGCAGCCAGGGAGGGTTTCTGAGCTTCCGAAAGGCAGGAGGCTGATGACCAAGCCTCCCCTCCTCTCTGCCTCCAGGTTTCCACCACTCTCCCGGTAGCCTAGCCCGACAGTCCCCGACAGCCCCATCCACTCACCGGAGTGCTCACCCTGGTCCCCTTGCAGCCGCTGGATGTTTTCCCGGAGGAAGAGGACGCGCTCCACCTGGCGCAGGAGGTCATCCAGGCCCGGACGCTCCGCGGCTGTCACTGCCTCCTGCTGGGCCGCCTCTGGCTGAGCACGGCCCCCAGGGACACCGGTCAGGTTCAGGGTCAAAGCCAGGGCGAGCAGCAACCAAGGGCCGGGCATCGCGGCGTCTGGGTTAGAGGACAGAGAGAACCTGAGCGCACCGAATCCCACCACATCCCGCTCGGTCTTCCCAGACGCCCGCCGGAAACAAACCACGCACAGTTCAACCGCCCTCCGAGGAGCAGGACCACTGCCCCTTGTGCAGGGGCGGGAGCAGCGGCGGGGTCCGCCCCGGCTCTGCGTCCACACTGCCCCCTCTAGGCATCCTCATCCCCACGGGTGCCTGTAGTGCCTGCACCCAGTTATACTTGAGCAAGACAGGAGGCCGTGGGAACCCCATCACCAGCGCCACCGCCACCCTTCAATGTGACGCGGAGCTGGGGGAGCCGACGCTGGGACTGCCTCGCCGGGAGTGCAACCACTGAGATTGCAGCGCCAGGCACAGCCGCGACACTAACGGTTGTGTCCCCGCCAAGACTCCTGCCAACGTCCCCATCGCCACGTTCTAATTCTAAGCTCCATGGCCGACATCTTCATTCCAAAGCTAAGATTCGGGTTCTAAAGCTCAAAGTCTATTTGTAAAGCTAAAATTCTATTTCTAATGCTAAGCTTTCATGACTAAGCCAGGACTCTGCTTCTAAAGCTAAAATCCTAATTTCAACGCTAAAATTCTATTTCTAGCGTTGAGATTGGGATTCGAACTCCCAGCTTCTCACGCCGACGCCCTGAATGCCCAGATCTGTCCAGCCGCACCTGGTCAGGGGGTGTCGCGGAGCTCCCACCCTGCGCTCTGGCCTCCGCGGACCTGAGTGCCCAGCAGCGAGCGCCACCGGTGTGCCCGCGCCGCGCCTCCCGTCGGGTCCCCCGCCGGCGCTCGGGGAGGAAACGGGGGTGCGAGCGCAGCGCCCGCCTGTGCACCGGCCCTGCGCTCCAGGAAGCTCTCAGAGAACCGAAGGCGAGGGCGGGCCGAGAGGGCTCCCTTTCCAGTGCTCCCAGACGCCGCCTGCGGAAGGAGAGGGGTCGAGGCGGTTACCTGCCAGGCGTGGGCTCCACAGGATGGGTCCAGGATCCGGGGACTTGGGGTCCGCAGTCGGCAGGTCAGGAGTCCGTAGCGCTGAGGACCCCGGGCGCCTGCCGAGCGCTCTTCAGCTGGGCCGCCGCTTTTATCTGCGCGAGGCGGCGGCTCCGGTGAGGTCAGCGGGGAGGGGTCGCGGCCGCCGGGAAGGGGCGCTGACGGCAGCTGGCCCCGCGGGACCCCGCCCGACTGCTCCTCCGGAAATCTGGGGCGGGGACGGTGGGGACGCGAGCCAGGGCGCGGAGACACTGGCCGCAGGATGGGGCGCCGGCGCGGGGTCGTTTCTGCATCACCTCCGGAGATCTGTTGACGAGAACACTCGTGTAGGGGGCAAAGGGAGGGACAGAGAGATTGAGAGAAGCACACGATTAAACCCAGACGCACGAGAGAGCGAGAGGGCGAGACAAAAACCGAGATCCACACGGAGACGACGGAGAAACACAGGGCAGACACACACAAAAGGGACACGGCCGCAGAACCAATGCAGAACACAGATGGGCGAGAGAAGGGCGAGAGAGAGAATGGGGGACAAGTGGGAGTGGAGCTCTACTTTAAAAAAAAAAAAAAGAGAGAGAGAGAGAGATGGGATCTCGCTTTGTACCCCAGACTGGAGTGCGGTGGCGCAATCATGGCTCACTGCAGCCTCCAACTCCTGGGCTCAAGTCATCCTCCTGCCTCAGCCTCCTGAGTCTCTGGGATTACAGGCGTGAGCCACCCCACAGGCTCCGGGGTGCTAATCTTAACTGTGTCATTCCTGGCTAGTGCCTCTGCTTCTCTGGGCCTCAGTTTTCTCGTCCGTGCAATAGGAGCCAAGAGGAAAGCTTTCAGAATTCCGAAACTGGCGGCCTGCAGGCTACAACCAGTTCATGGACAATTTTGATTGACTTCCACAGTGTTTTGAAAAAAATCTGAATAACCAACATTTTAAAACCAAGATAACTTAGAAAAATTTGGATTTGTGGCTTCTCTTGAAAAAGAGTAGGCCCACATTTCTTCCTGCCAATAGTCAGCTGGAGCTGAACCTGGCTGCCCTCGGCCACCACAGTCCCCACCACTCCCTAATGTCTCCCCATGTGTTGCCCCTGTCACTAAGGAGGGACATTTGAGTCTGCAGTCCCTGCACAGAAAATCTACTGGAGTTCACCCAAGTCTGGCAAAGGAGTGGAGGGGAAGTAGGCAGGAGAAACATATGGGTGCAAAGGAGCTTGTCCCCCTAATCAGTCCCCAAAGTCCCAGATGTGGGACTGCCACATCTAGCCCTAGGACTGCCTCCATCTTGAAACTTTTTTTTGAGACAGGGTCTCATTCTGCCCCTCAGGCTGGAGTGCAGCAGTGCAATCTCAACTCACTGCAGCCTTGATCCCCCCAGTTTAAGGGATCCTCCCACCTCAGCCTCCAAAGTAGCTGGGACTACAGCCAGGTACAGTAATTTTTATGGCTATTTTTTTTTTTTTTTTTTTTT